TCTTATAGAAGTCATTTTAACCATCTCATACCAAAAAAAAAAAAAATAATTGATCAAAATCGAAAAGAAATCAAACTAGTTTGAATAAACATGACAAAGTAGATAAAATCCAATATCATTAAAGTATAATATTGTCACGATTTTTTCTTTACTGAGTTTAAAAATAAAATAATAATAATAAAATATCCATTATCAATACCAAAATTTTTTGATTACCGAAAAATATTATTATGTTACAAATATAACCAATAAAAAATTTTTTATAAGGTTACTGAACTTATATAAACTTATATATACTAAACTTTATACTTAACCGAATTTATTAACGTTATGATACAGTGATAAAATAAAATTTTATAAAATATTCTGTATCAAAAGTAATTTATAACGTCTTAAAAAACAATTATACATTTATTGAATCGTCGCCATAAAATCAATTATTGATAAATTAACAAAAACTGGCAATACAGATTTTTAAAACATATATCTTTAATTGACAATTAGTCAAAAATGAAACATTTCGCCATACGTTATTCAATAGAAATAATTTTTTTGTTTTGTGTTTTATTAATAACTATGTTCTACTTTTAAATAAATATGTCAATTATAAAAACTTCATCTATTTATCAACTCGAGTTATTGTTATGACATTGCCTGTTGAACTATACATATTTTTGTATGCAAGCTCATCACACTCAACGAAAAAGTCTCCATTGATGATGGTAATTATTAGACTCTGTACACTCGTACAAAGACGATGGCTCGCGTAAGTTCAAGGCTGAGCCTTGTTATATTAACACCAATATTACTGTAGTTTCTGTATATATATATATAGAATAAATGGAACAAGCATTAAGTCCATGCATTGAATGTTGTTTATATGGGTTGGTGACGTTTGATAATAAATATTAGCGCGTTGTTCTCATATAAATTAGAACCATCGCTCTAGAAAATTGGACAATACCATAGTGTTTAACATTTTCTTCATTGAGACACGTGAATTCTTTTATATATTTTTTTTAACAAATGTATTGACACATTTTATTTTAAATGTTAATCGTATTAAGTCATCATTATTATAACTTAGACCTCGTCATATAACACTTTACTACTGTATAAGTTATTAATTTATGAGCCTTTAAATTATCTCAAAACTGTGTGACATTAGGTACTTAAATCTATTAACACATATTTAAGTATTCTTTTGAAAAAAAAAACAATGTATTATATTCTACAAATCATGATTATAAGTGAATATTTATCCTCATCAATAGATATGAATAAAAAGTTAGATGCTTTAAATCATTATATGTCCTTCAACTAGAGATTAAAGTAGTAGTTATTTTTCTAATAATCATGATTATTTTGGGATTATAACATTATTTAACTCTTTAACTAAAAATTAAATATGTAAATCATTAAGCCTATTTAAAATTTTATTAGATATTCGTCATTTTTGTTATTGTAAAATTACTTAAATAACACTAGCAAATGTTTGTTTTACGAGAAGTATTTAAAACTGGCTGAAACTATTCGTTTTGTTCAACATAAATAAATATCAATTAATATGAATTAAAAATATATAGCAGTTCATTTTGTTAGAAGTATTGTCGTTTGTGGTTGAAATTAAGATATAATACAATATTACCAATTTATTAAATAAAATCAAAATTTCATAGCATGATATTTCAATTTTTTAATATAGAACTCATGTATTCTAGTGACCGGAATTTATTAACAGTCCTAATATTTTAATTATATTTGAACTAGTCTTAACTAGTTTATAAAAAACATTATCATAATTAATCATTCGACTAACCAGGTTTTGAAATCAAGTCAACTAATATTTTATTAAATTATCTAATACAAGTTAATAACATACCAGATTAATTTAAATTATAATATTATAAATATTTATAAATAATTCTTCACATCAAAGAGTTAAAATATTATATGATAAAAACATGTATTTGTATATTTAGATACATGCATAAATTAACAATCGTATACGATTGTATACCAAGGATTGTAAGCTTATAGGCTTAATATCGTATGTTAAATATTATATTAAAATATTTATTGGATTTAATATAGAGTCGAAATCAGTGGCGTATTAAAGATTTTTGAGAGTCGATGCACCATTATTATTGCGCACTTTTTTTTATCACATTACAAGTAAAAAATAAGATTTCTAACTCGGCTAATGTTTCCTTTAAACCATAGCAAACTGCTGCTGCTCCATATAATACACGCCACTTCTTGTAATTTCTATACAACAGCTACTTTTAATTAATTGAATTAAGTTAATTTATTAAATAAATTATATTCAATACCAGAAACGAAATTAAAAACAAAAGTTTTACATTTAGATAGTAAATTGAGTGACTTGTTTTATTTCGAATATGATTTCTAAAAGGATTATTTCAATGATCTTCAGGGTACCTAGAATTAATATTGTACTTAAAATTATATGTAACATGTATTCTCTTATAATTATAATATCGAATATTAATATAAGGTTTTTGTATAATATACACTATGTGTCTCTTTGTAGTATTATGTCATCGAATTATATTATTTTTCAAACGCTGGAAAAATTCATAATATTATCATGAGCAAACACAACAATAGAATAAAATAATAATTAAAAATTATTCTTTGATAGATCATAAAAAATCGTATCTGAAAACAAATGTTCAAAATCGCTTATAAAATTATAAAGATAAAATAAGAAGGTATGATGTAACAATAAATAGCTATTAACACGCATACAATANGTAACAATAAATAACTATTAACACGCATACAATGGATAATTGCATGCGTGAAAACATCAGTGGAACTATCAGTAATTTTTAGATACTATTTACGCTAAAAGTCTTTTTAGCTCTGTGATATTACAGATGTAAATAAAATTACTCCAAGTGTCAAGAAACTCTTGGCAACAAAATATAAGTACTGATAGATGCAAACAGCATAGGTATTGTATAAAAATAATTTTATTATTTATGTTAAAGCTATTGTGTAATACTGACATATTTTTATAATAAATATTCCACAAATATAGTATATTTTTAGGTGTACATCTATTATTATTTACATCTGTTTGTTTTATTAAGCTGTTAACCTTCAAATAAACAAAAAAATAATTTTCTAATTATACGATTGAATTTACTTGAGGTAAAACGGAAAATTGATTTTTGGTGACTATTTAAAGATGAAGGCGTTATTACTAACGTAATTGTGGGGAAATTTGGGCGTCATATCCCCTCGTGACAAAAATTATTTGGCTAAGGTACAATTTGTTTTTGTTTGGAAGGAGAAGTAAAAAATATTTATGTACATTGGCGATTCTTTTAATATTAGCCACTAGATTTCTCTTTAACTAATAATTATATTCAGAAAACACTTTTTGGTATTTTTTAAATTTTATGTTTTTTGATTCATTAATTATTAAGTATTTTGTGAATTAGATATATATTTATTTTATAAGCTAGTTAAAGTTGACTATGTTACCATTTAAAAAAATTAAGCTGACACCTTTATAAGGTATAAGATATGTGTTAAAAATATACTTAATAATTGATAAATCTATAAATGTGGGAAACTATAAAATACCAACAAGAATTTACTTAACATAATAATTATTTTAAGGGATATCGAATGAATATTAATAGAATCGCCTATATTTCATTACCTCAATTTATCGTAAGCATTTAGAATTTTTTTTTTTTTTAGGACAGTCCCCTTCATTTTAATTTACAGATTGGAATGACATTAAAAGTTATCCTTGAAAATGTTTATTACTGAAACTTAAATCATTTTTATCCCTTATACGTTAAAAGATATCAAGTGGATTATATTATAATAATCACGCTGTATATCTCTCCAAGACGAAACCCTAATTACAATACTATCTCCATAAATCTATAGAATCGTATTTGATGATACAGGATTTTTATGTACAAATTTAATCATTATCTATAAAATCAATAAAATGGCATTTAAACAAAATAAAAATATTTAATAGCATTTCACTTTAAAAATAAATACAAAGTGTTTGTTGATGTATTTGATACGTATTTCATATAACTTAATGCTAAAACAAATTAATTGTTGTTACCTTCGCATTGAAATAAAATTAAATACTAATTTTGGATTAAGTCATTTAAAATATTTAATTTTTTTGATATAGTTAAATTACTTATTATAACATAGTTTTAAATAAAGAAATGATTTATAACATATTCTTGAATATTTTTAGTTGACGTGAAATGTTTTTGCNTTTTTAGGACAGTCCCCTTCATTTTAATTTACAGATTGGAATGACATTAAAAGTTATCCTTGAAAATGTTTATTACTGACACTTAAATCATTTTTATCCCTTATACATTAAAAGATATTAAGTGGATTATATTATAATAATCACGCTGTATATCTCTCCAAGACGATACCCTAATTACGATACTATCTCCATAAATCTATAGAATCGCATTTGATGATACAGGATTTTTATGTACAAATTTAATCAGAAATATGTCACATAAGTGAGCAATCCTAAATCATTCATTGGAGTTGTAATGCATACATTTTATTATTTTGAATAAAACTAAGATAGAGAAGTATAAATAAAATATTGTTTATTAAACAAAAAAAAAATGATTAAATATAAAACAGAAAAAATAAGCAAATTACTATGTTAAATATCTAACGTAATGACATACATTTGAAAAAAAAAAACAAAAAAATTATTATTTATATATTTTCATAAGGAAAGTAATTTGATGTTATCACCAAATATATCTACTAAGAATCACGACATACAGGATAACTTAGACTTGACTAGATTGCTCTTTGGCTATGTTAAACCTAATTTTAATGTATAAAACCACTAAATATATATGTAAAAATTTATTAATGACCAAAAAAATATTAAAAGTAAGCTACTTTATTACAAAATAATGGTTTTTACTAATTGTAGTGGGTGTCTAGTTATAATGAAGGATGACATATGTTTTTCTATATCTAGACATCTATCATAGATTTAGTAGTATACTATCCAACAATAATTAATTGATTTTAACAGTCACATAATATCCAATAAAGCTTAAAAGCATTGATAAGATATTTATTTTTTGTATTTTTAATTTATTATAAAAATTTTGATCATAATTAATTAATTATAAATAATTATCCAAAAAAAAAAATTATTATTTTATGATATCAAAAATATTTATCATACATATATCGTTAATTGCCAAAACTGAAGTGTTATCTTTCTTTTAATGTTATTAAAAAACTTTTTTAATATTGATTTTGTCAATGAGATATTTGCAATGTATTCAAAACAGTTATTATGTGGTAATTCAAGTTATTTTACTTAAAATTAAGTGAAATTAATTGAAAATATTTGGCATAAGGAGAACGATATAATCATTTAATAATTTTTTCAATTAATTGCAATTATAACAAAATTAATTAAAAATGAATTTGTTTAATTTTTATGAAGTATTATTTAAGAATACTAAAAATGTGGTATAATGAATAAAATATGAAGCCTTTATAGAATATTGAAATTACATTATTCAATTATAATTAAAAAATAATCAAATAGTTTTCTAAATTTGTAACGATTACTTTATTATTTGATTGTAAATATGGATGTTTGATGTTTTTTTTTAATATCAGAAGAATAGTTACTTTAAAAAATCAGTGATTCTTAATAATTTTTACCATACATTATAAAAGATTCTTATTATAAAATATTACAAAAAATGATCACGTTCTGTAAGTCAGAAACTATACAAAATGATTTAACACTTATTTAATCGTTCATTTAAGTTCACACGCTATTAAGAGATAATTAAAACATTTTATTAATGATAAGATGTAATTTAAAAACATATTAAATATAATAAATGGAAAGTAACCTAGTTTTTATATTTTCTTACATCTATAAAATCAATAAAATGGCATTTAAACAAAATAAAAATATTTAATAGCATTTTCACTTTAAAAAGAAATACAAAGTGTTTGTTAATGTATTTGATACTTATTTCATATAACTTAATGCTAAAACAAATTAATTGTTGTTACCTTCGTATTGAAATAAAATTAAATACTAATTTTGGATTAAGTCATTTAAAATATTTAATTTTTCTTGATATAGTTAAATTACTTATTATAACATAGTTTTGAATAAAGAAATGATTTATAACATATTCTTGAATATTTTTAGTTGACGTGAAATGTTTTTGTCACTTTATTATATCTTTTTGGTTACCAAAAAATACCAAAATAAATTAAATATTTTCAAACTTTGAAGTTGCTCTCATTAAATACAAAATTGATGCCAACATTATAATGACAGCTGACAATTCACCAGATGGTTGTTTTATATGTGACCTTATGTATTTAATTATTAATTTTATGTCTAGGTTCAGTTTGAATGGAATTCTATACTTCAGTTTGCGAAATTATAGGAAATAAAATATCACATTCCGCAAGATATAAAAAACATTTGTTTACACAAATAGTAATATAAAGAATGTCAAAAAGCAAAAACGGATAGATTATAATATTGTTCTAAAATATTTTGATTAGTTGTCTAATCAAAGCAATTGACGATTCGGTAAAAATTTTTCGTAGTCGAAACATTAATGATAGTAACCTTTGTTCCTTTATTAAAATTACTATTGTTATTTTTTTATTAGTTATATAGTATTAGCACACATTGAACTCTTCTAATTTCAAGTGTCATAACATGTGTACACAGATATTGTATAATTGGTTTGTTGTTTTTGTTTTTTTAATAAGTTATAGATAAATTGTTTAAAAAATTACATACGAAATATACTTTTAATAAAAAAAGTTGGTTAGTAACTTATTTTGAACTTATTATATTTAACTTAATTAATATTTTAATGTATAGATGGAAAAAAACCGGAGGTGGTATTACAGTCATGCATTCGTGGTTACATCAATTGTGATGGCGTTTTGTATTATTTCGGTCATCGGTCAAAGTGATTTAGCTGGGTCTTATTGCGCTTCAAGATCTCGAGGATGCTGTCCTGGTCGTCAAGACGAATGTTCCGTACCTATTTTAGGTACTTTGTGTTATTGTGATGATTTTTGCAACCATACTCGATCTGAAGACTGTTGTCCAGATTACTGGTCGTACTGTAAGGGTATCATAACACCATTACCAATTAAACGTAAGCCTATAAAACTATTTTATTCATAAATTAATCAAAAAGATTTATTTTTATTTTTATTTAAAATTTAATGATATACATAACTATAAATTTATATATATATATATAT